TTATTACCCTATATTCATTAATTGTATTATTTAATAAGAAGGCTAATAGTAATCCGATAATCTCGTGGTAAATCCCATAGGGCGGAGAGAGAGAGAGAGAGAGAGAGAGTAATGGATACAATAAACGCAAAGCGATGTGGAAATGACTGAACACTGAGCTGTCATTCGGCTATAATTAGAGATAAATTGGATTAAAAATAACTTTTTTTTAAGTGTTTCGTATATAACACACATTTACTATACCATAGCATATACCCAATAATCGATGGGTGCGCACAGGCCTGCCGTACACTGTATATATGAATATGCATACAGAATATTCTGTGTATATGTATTCACTAACATATATGGACTAAAACTGAGGCAATAAATAATAAGATATATAGTAATTTCAAATGATCGAGATGTATTAAAAATAAATTAATATACACATTATTGGTTTGATGACGCCATGCATTAAGTAACAAAGAGTTTATAGTAAATTAATTTAGTCACAAACTATTGACATATCGTAAATTATATTTCATATAAATTATTACCCCGTGGTTTAATTTCCTAAATTAGTTTACTGTGTATTGCATTGGCGTTCAGTAATCATAATAATAATAATAATAATAATAATAATGATATTCTGGTTTAAAGCGGATTATAAAGGGATCAGTCATTGAGTTATTATTATTATTGTTAATACTATTTGTCACGAAATATATTCAATAAACAATTTATGTGTGTATTTATAAATAAGTTATTTTAAATAACATTGTTTTAGTTATTTATAACATTGTTGTATATGAATTGTATGAATTTGCATTAATGTAAAATGTGCTGAAATGTGTAATTAGTATTTGTAATATCCGTTATAATTAACACGATTTGTTTTAAAATTATAATTAAATATATAATATATTTAAAGAATATTCCGATACGTCCTTGGTGATTGTAACTATTTCCTATATAATTATTACTAGCCTTCGATATAAAACAAATAGTTTTACATTTATGTATTGTCTCCCAAAATTATGTTTAAAATTTTTCACAATAAAGTATCAAAAATTCTATTTAACTATTATTTTGAATTTATTTTATAGCCTATTATTAATTGTTTGACGCGACCTTGTTAATATTTATTAATACTATTGGCATTATTACTTTATTATAATGATAATATATTCAGTTAAAAATTAATACCATCATTATTACCGCGTAATTACCAGTGAATAACACATATAATGCATTTCTTATGGGAATAAAAGTCTATAAATACATAACATATTTGGTATGAAATGAAATACTTATTAAAATATCTCAAAGCATTTTAAAGGGAAAAAACTTATAAAATAAGTAAATAAATAATTAAAAACGTCTAAAACACACAAACAGTACGTGTAGTCGAAAAACAAATATTTGAATCACTTTTATAATCACTTACGCCATACAAATCGTATGGCAAACATTAAATAACATATATGTTTATTATGGCTATTATTTATAGCCTAATAGCTAAACATTTACAAAAATTGATTAACTCATCGAAAAGTTTTATAAATGTAAAAATACTGAAAATAATAAGTTGTTTCAAAATCTCGCAGCAATAATTGGCTTTAAAAATAAAACAAGGTTATTTTAAGTGAGATATGCTAATTTACACACAAACATTTTTTCCAATAAAGCCCTGCTCTAAATAAAATAATTTTCGCAACAAAAAAATATAAATCAGCTTATCACAATAATTCTGATAAACTTAGAATATATTTAGTAAACCTAAATTAAATAAATTAATATACATAAAATAAATACCATTATATAAATACCACCATCACCAAGTTAGTGTCAGTATAACAAAAAATAAAGCACACATACCATGACCATGCATCATGCCAAACATACCCTGGTGACCGTGGGGTGCGCCCAGACCGCCCATATTAAAAAACATTTCGAACGGGTTATCGGTGCCGAAAAATTGTGCAAAGGTCGCTCGGGGGTCGCCGTGAAATGTATACGAAAAATGTTGGCCACCGTTGCCATGGTTGCCAAAACCACCGCGATTACCAGAACCATGGTTACCACCCCCACCCTCTTTTAGGCCCTCTTCTCCGTACTGGTCATAAATGTCGCGCTTTTTCTTATCGCTCAGCACTTCGTACGCCTCGGCTATGAGTTTGAATTTCTCTTCTGCCCCTGCTGCTTTGTTTTTATCAGGGTGGTATTTCAGCGCCAGTTTACGGTACGCCTTTTTAATGTCGTCCTCACCCGCCTGGCGGGCTATGCCTAGTATTGAGTAGTAGTCTTTGCCCATTAATTTGATTGTAGTAAGGTGATTTGGGATATTTTTATGAACTAGCCAAAAAATATAGTGATTATTAGTTTTGAATTGTGATAAATTATTAAGGTAATAGAATTATAATTTTGAGTATTTATTTTACCTTGGTAGTATGTTTGGCGTAAAACTTTTTAATCACGTGAATTAAATGACTAAAATATTTTTAAAATCTAGTTGAATCACAATTTATTAAAAATAAATTCCTACAATTTTAATTAAATAGCCGGCTTAACATTTAACAAGATATAACAACAACAATAATAAAAATAGTAGAAACCAAAACTATGGTTCAGGTAAAATATTTATGAAAATTAATGAACCAACATAATTTTATAAAGAATATTCACAAAACAACACAATTCATGAATATATAAAACACAAAAATAAACAAGTTTAATATGTGATGAACTTGAATCAGATTCACTGATGCTCTCCAGTCAGAGCGCGCACACGAACTGTACGTTTGAATAATGTATACAAAAATCTCGCAAAATTTTTATCTCGCAGTGTTTTTCTCGTAAACATTCACTTTGAAAGTGTATTTCGAGAAATTTCACCTTAAAGTATAAAACATGTTTTTCTAATCCATACAAATAACATAGCAAGTAATGGCCGATATTTTAGTACCATTAGACGTATAATAATATTACTCTATGTACACGTTTAGGCTATACATAAAAGTACCAAATTCTCTAATAGTAAAGTTTATTGCAGTTATTATTGTTTGTAGTGTTTAATTGAAAAGTGGGCGGAGTCTTGACTACTCATTGACATACCGATGGATTAATAAATTACGTAATGTTTTAAGTTATCAAATTGTGAGCAATAAATTAACAAGTTTTATTTTATTATAATTTTTTTAACATGTGTGTAATTCTAATAGCCATTTATAATAATACCATGCATTTATAAAACTACTTTATTATAGTAATAAATTATAAACAAATTAAAGTAGGGTAATAATTGTAATAATAATACATGTACAGTAAGTTAAACTTGCTATAAGTAATACTTACGATAAGTTAAAAATCAGAATAAAATAATTATGCTTATAAAAATAAATTAATAATTATTGAATAATCATAAATAGGATTACATTAATTAATTTTAAATTAACCTGGGCAAAAAAGTGCAACAATTATGATGCTTTAGTGGCTGGCAAATCGAGATGAGGCTCAAGGTTAACTAATTTAACACTCAACTCCCAAAGTGCCTGGGACATTTTATCATCCACAGCCGCGGGCACCATATTATCGACACGCTGACAATTTCTATCATCATAAAAAATCATATGAATTAAATAAAAACTCGGGCACATAAAACAATCAAACAAAAACTATTTTAACCTTGTTTAAAAAAGCACACTTACGAGTAGTAAAAGCCTGACTCGCCGTCCAAACCCTCATCGAGAATACAGTGAAGGCTGGTTTGAGCGCCCAATTCAGGGGTCAAAAACATTGAACCCATTATTTTGTCCCCCAATTGACCCCCACCTGAATGTCTGGCCAACTCTGTATGGACGGCACCGGGATGTAGGCTATAGGTGTTGACTGTAGTCGATGGGCCCAAACGTTTGGCCATTTCACGAGCAAATAGTACGTTGGCCAGTTTACTCTGGGCATATGACTTGAATGGGCTGTATGCACCGTTGCGTAAATTTATATTATCAAGGTGGATTTTGCCCGCCATGTGTCCAATGGACGACACGTTTACTACACGTGCTTTCGGCGAGTTTTGAAGCAATGGCAGCAAAAGCATTGTCAATAGAAAGTGGCCTAAATATAATTTTACAATGTAAAAATTTAGATACTTAAAAACAATTAATAATATTACGTGATTATTGTAATAATTTTTACATTAATATTTATGTAATGTAAAATAAAAATACGCTTATTACTAAAATAGCTAATACATTGTAAATACACGGCATAAAATAGTAAAAATGATACTAACCAAGGTGATTAGTGCCGAACTGCATCTCAAACCCGTCAGCTGTTGACCACTCGGGAGTATTCATTACTCCCGCGTTATTCACCAAAATATCCACACAATCGGTGTTTTGTGAGACCTGTTGTGCGAACTCTCGCACAGACTTGAGTGAAGCCAAGTCCAGCTCAAACAGTGTCAGGTCTGCCCCACTATTCCTCCCCTTTATGTCATTCATAGCCTCTTCGCCCCTCGCAATGGATCGGCAGCTCATTATTACCTTAATGTTCACAATTAATAAACATGTTTAATATAAGTTAGTTGTTTAATATAACAATTTTCAATCTATTGCAACTTACTTTAGCCCCGCGTAACGACAACTGATAGGCTGTCTCTTTGCCGATTCCAGTGTTGGCGCCCGTAATGATCACTGTCTGGCCGTCTAGTCGTCGATTACTAGTGCAATGTTTGGTACGTCGGGTAACTGTACGGCCCAACTCGGAAGTAGCACTGCAGACAAATTTACCATAACTCATGATTTTAATCTAGTTAACAATTTTGCTCAATTTATTAATACAATTGTCCAGTAATGCTCATGTGATTCACTATTATATTCTGTTCAATTGTCACATACAACTTTACACTAGTTCTAAATATTATTTGTATACACGAATATGACAAATCTAGTGCAAATAGATCTAAATTAGTATAAAATAATGATGGTACATGCGCTTACCTGTAGACTTGCCAAGGTCTATCGACTTTTTTACAACATAATTCCCATTCTGTTTCTTATGTATTGTTTTATATTTGCACATGTTTAATGTCTTTATACAATATAATTATACTAATATTTATTTAGTATATATTGAAAGATGATTTATTATTTGCTGCAGACTCGCTAACAATTTCAATCATCATAAAAATTTCATATCAATTAAATAAACACATGGGTTGTGAATTTTAATCAATATTTTAATTAAAAAATAATAAATAAATAAAATAACAAAATACAAAATGAAGATTGTTTTGACACTCATGTTGTTGTCTGTGTGGACGGCCGTAACGATGGCGGCGCCGATGCCTTTGGGCAAAGACACGGCTGATGACGCGTCTGAGTCGGACTCAGGCTCGACGTCCAACTCATCGGCCGACTCCGGGAGCGGCTCCGACGCCAAAGCGGTCTCTAAAGCGTTCAATAATGGTTTGGCTAACTCTATCGGCCAGGCCTACAACAGGTCGAGGGCCACCGCATTTGCCAGAGCCGACGGTAAGGCAGTGAGCGGTATGAGCGGTAGACCGGCATACGAAGCACCCAAAGGCTGATTAACTTAGACGGACACAAAAATCCTTAATTCTAGTTAATTTTAAATAATATTATTTATAAAATAGTTTTAATGATCATTATTTTATATTAGGGAAATGTACTATTTGATGTAATAATTGAGCTTACTTATGTTACGTTCATTTTTGTACATTCTGTATGTTGATTGCATATGGTGATTTAATTAATGTAAATGTTAATTAAGTTCTTGATGTCATTAATAATTTTATTGAGTAATCTGATAAATTATATGTATTTTTAAACAACAAATTAAACAAAGAAGTTGTCTTAACTTCAACAAAAGTGACCAGATTTAAATTTAATTTTTATCATGATGAAAGCATATAAGGCAAAGATGAAATATATACAAATTATTATCCTAGGCCAAATTTTTAAAATTTTAATATTTATTTTTAAAAATTTTTTTATCCCTCAAATATGTTCTTCATATGTTCTACTTTCCATTTATATGAAAATTCACTTATTGTCAAAAAATTTGGTATTACCTTAGAAGACTCAAGAGTTTCTCTTCAGATTCATTTGTAGACTAAGCAAAGCTTCAAAATTAATCTTACTTTATATTGAGTTTCGGATGATAAAATAGTCAAATAACTGTTTAAAACTTTTAATGATGATTTTTCATTAATTATTCATTAGTCATGATAATATATAATTGAATTTTTAATTGTTATTCAATCACTTGTTCAGGCTGTGAAAGAATTTTGTAATTATCTTAAATACTTTTCGAGATAATCACATCCGTAATTTGAGGATGAAATATGATCCTGTTCAAAAATGTTTCGAGTTAAAAAATTAATTTTTTCACATTTTGTTATTGATTCACTGACAGAATGTTTTGCAATCATTCTCGGTTGAATTCTTTTATATCGAATTGAAACTAAGACAACTTGTTTTTAATATTATAAATGAATTTTAATTAAATATGAAATTGTTGCATGCAAAATATACAAAAAATTTTCTACAGCGTTTAAAAGTAGCAATGTACTATTAAAGTATTACCAAGCATTGGTTTTATGGACGGGTATACGCAAGTGAGGTTCTAAATTAACTAGCTCGCAACTTAACTCCCAGAGTGCCTGGGACATTTTCTCATCGGTTGCCGTCGGTACCATTTTATCAACACGTTCACAATTTCTATCATAAAACAAAAAAAACTAATAAATCATACGTTTACAAATAAACCAAAACTATCTTAACCATGTTCAAAAATACACTTACGAGTAATAAAAGCCTGATTCCCCGTCCAGACCCTCAGTGAGAATACAGTGAAGGCTGGTTTGTGCGCCCAACTCGGGTGTCAACGATACTGTACGTGCTACTTTCTCGCTGATGGCACTCATGCCCATATGTCGACCTACATCGGTGTTCACGGCACCGGGATGTAGGCTATAGGTGTTGATTG